CAAAACTCCACCTCTACCAGAGAATTTACACCCTTTTGCATCTAAGGTACTCAGTGATATGAGATTCTTTGTCAAGTCTGGAACATGGCCAACCTAATCAAGTGTCCTCACTGTCCTATTTTGTAGCCTCAATCTAACCCGACCATTTCCCGCAACCCGATAAGATTGGTTGTTTCCCATGACAACTCCACCTTGCTTCACCGTCTCATATGTTTGATACAAAGCCCTATTTGGACACATATGATACGAACATGCAGAATCCAGAATACACAACCCATGTTTGGATTCCTCATCAGATACTGCCATCATTACATAGCTATCATCCAAAAAATTCTCAACAATGTTAGTCTCATTACCTGATTGCCCCGCATGATTTGCATGTAAATCACCTTTACCCTGCAACTTATCGCAGTCTTTTTTAATGTGTCATTTTCTCTTGCAGTAATAACAATACACATTGCTGTACCTCACCTTCGATCTATCCCTTCGTCAATCACCATGAGTAACCAGAGCATTTCCACCCCTAGATGTAGAATCTCCAACCAACAGCTCCATCTTCTCCTTTGAGAACAGGGCATCATATACCTTCTTAATGGTCAACGTGTCATGACTATACAATATAGTAATACGAAACGACGAAAAAGAACTGGGTAGTGAACACAATAGAATCAAGGCCAGGTTTTTTTCATCATATTTTACCTCCAATGTCTCCAAATCTGCAATAATCTCCTTGAACACGGAAGATGGTCCTGTAGTGACCCTCCTTCCACCATGCAATGGGAATACAACTTCTGCTTTAGAGTCAGTTTGCTCTTCAGACTTCTTGTCATGTACAACTGCTCCAGCTTGATCTACAAAGCAGCCGCCATCTTCTCCTTCAAGACATCCTGCAGAATATTGTTGGATAAGTGAAGATGAATCTACGCTAGAGCCTTTCGATCCCTCCGTTGTTTTTCTTCCACGAACAAATTTGCTGGCATCCTCTCAAAATCTAACAAAACATCGTCAAAATCCATCTGCGTCAACATAGCCCTCACCTTTACTTGCCACAGCAAAAATCTTGTATTGCGATCCAACGGTGGAATTTTATATTTCAACGAATTCATCCTTGAAAAATCTCAATCAAATCACGAAGAACCTGCAACCCATGCTCTGATACCATTTGTTGATCCCAAAGGCAACACAAGATTAAGATTTAATGATAATAATGAAATATTCAAAGTCGCACCATGAAAACAAGATTAAAGTAAAGTAAAAAAAAAAGATAAACTAAGTAGAAGAACGATGAAATTTATTAAACCGACAATATGGAGAGAATAATACAGGACAACAATAATGCTTCATGTAAAACTGACAAATAAGTATCTAATTTATAGGCCACGTCCATAAATCTAATGGAGCCCTAAAAGGTAAGAAAATATATTAGAATTAGGTTAAACCGCGTAAAAGGAAAAAATCTTGGATGTAATTTGATTTCTTTCCAAATTCAAGCCAAACATGATCTTCCAAGATTTCAACCCAATTTTGAGGCATTAAACCTAACAATCTCACCTTGACTCAAAATTTTCGATGCAACGAACGAAACTCCAAAATTTCAAATCCATTTACTTTGAAATGAACTGACCAATCTCCTCAACAGAGTAACCAAAATCTCTATCAACAAATCATCATCCTCTGTACGACATTCACAAGCGACACCCAAACCCAAATCCTAGGTTCCCAAAGTTCCACCAATGAATTACTGTTGATCAAATAGGATCGAAGCAATCCGGTAGCAGAAACCATACCATATGTTGGATCAGAAGGCCCCTTGCTAGACTTGTCACCTTCAACGTCTCCTAAAGCATTCCAGGCATTATTGACACCACCATACCTACGCTCCATGAGTCCAACCCTAGAAACTGCACATGGTGAATCCGTCGAAATTAATGGCAAAGTGAAATCATCAATGCTCTCCCTGATAGTGTTCTTAACCAACTCAGAGCTGGCCACAAGAGGTATTGTACCAAACTGAACTTCCACCACAGTACTGAATTTGTCCAAATGTCTCTTAACTGCTTCTGCATTCCCTTGTAAGATGTACAACTGAGATTTCTTCTGTCCCTCCAGTAGAACTCGAAAACCCCTTCGGACCTTCAAGACTCCACCTCTACCAGAGAATTTATACCCTTTTGCATCCAAGGTACTCGGTGATATGAGATTCTTTGTCAAGCATGGAACATGGCCAACCTAATCAAGTGTCCTTACTGTCCTATCTTGTAGCCTCAATCTAACCCGACCAATTCCTTTAACCCGATAAGATTGGTTGTTTCTCATGACAACTCCACCTTGCTTCACCATCTCATATGTCTGAAACAAAACCCTATTGGGACACATATGATACGAACATGCAAAATCCAGAATCCACTCTCCAGATTTAGATTCCTTGTCAAATACAGCCAACATTACATCTCCATCATCCGAAAAATTCTCAACAATGTTAGTCTCATTACCTGATTGCCCCGCATGATTTGCATGTAAATCACCTTTACCCTGCAACTTGTCGCAATCTTTTTTAATGTGTCCTTTCTTCTTACAGTAATAACAATACACATTGTTGTACCTCACCTTCAATCTACCCCTCTGTCGATCACCATGAGTAACCAGAGCATCCCCACCCCTAGATGTAGAATCTCCAACCAACAGCTCCATCTTCTCCTTTGAGAACAGGGCGTCATATACCTCCTCAATGGTCAGCGTGTCATGACTATACAATATAGTATTATGAAACGACGAAAAAGAACAGGATAACGAACACAACAGGATCAAGGCCAGATCCTTTTCATCATATTTTAACTCCAATGTCTCCAAATCTACAACAATCTCCTTGAACACAGCAAGATGGTCCTGTAGTGACCCTCCTTCCACTATGCAATGGAAATATAGCTTCTACTTTAGAGTCAGTTTGCTCGTCAGACTTTTTGTCATGTACAACTGCTCCAACTTGAGCCACAAAGCAGCCGTTATCTTCTCCTTCAAGACATCATACAGAATATTGTTGGATAAGTGAAGATGAATCTGCGCTAGAGCCTTTCGATCCCTCCGTTGTTTCTCCTCCAAAGACAAATTTGCAGGCATCCTCTCAAAACCCAGCAAAACATCGTCAAGATCCATTTGCTTCAATACAGCCCTTACCTTTACTTGCCATAGCGAAAATCTTGTATTGCGATCCAACAGTGAAATTTCATATTTCAACTAATTCATCCTTGAAAAATCTCAACAAAATCATGAAGAACCTACAACTCATGCTCTGATACCACTTGTTGATCCCCAAAGGCAATGCAAGATTGAAATTTAATGATAATAATGAAATATTTAAGATCACACCATGAAAATAAGACTAAAGTAAAGTAAAAAAAAAAAAAGAAACTAAGCAAAGGAACGATAAAATTTATTAAATCGACAATATGGGGAGAATAATAAGGACAATAATAATACTTCATCTAAAACTGACAAATGATTATCTAATTTATAGGCCACGTCCATAAATCTAATGGAATCCTAAAAGGTAAGAAAATATATTAGAATTAGGTTAAACCGCGTAAAAGGAAAAAATATTGGATGTAATTTGATTTCTTTCCAAATTCAAGCCAAACATGATCTTCCAAGAATTCAACTCAATTTTGAGGCATTAAACCTAACACTTCAGACAATGGTTTTAATGCTGAAATTACCAAGAAAAGATTTGGTCTTCTTCTGTCTTGTCTTCCATGCACTTGCACGATACATGAACACATGCATACGTGCACAAGTAAGCATTCTACAAGTACAAGAAGGCATGGCTTGTGCTATTGGGAACGTTGTGCTTAAATTCTAGATAACTCCAGGGGCACAAAAGTCTTGGTCCTTGAATAACCAAAAAGTGAGCGTGAAAAAAGGAAGGGAAGCAGATGAAGTTACTGCTTGCATAAAAATCATATATTTTGATTTCAAGAATATTGGATAAAAAAGAAGAGGCATCGTGGAATAAAAAAATATTGGAATGCCTGGATGTATAAAAGAGTGTCTCATTTATGAAGAATGGTCAAATTTGAAGAATATATATAGAGAAATTTTTTGCACATTCCCTCGTGACATCTATAGTACAGTATCATGGTTCTCCCTAAAGTACACAATCATCTATCTTTATCATGTTACATATAATCTCATCTTTGTAGTACTTTCCAATAAAAAGTGAAATTTACATACCTCCATAATTTGAACTTCTTTTAACTTTTGAAGTTTGATAGCAAGATGATTATTTTTAAGTTTTCACGAATGCTTTTGATACCAACTTCTCCCTACTCTCATGGTTTATTATTACGTTTTATACTTTTATTGTTGATGGTGCATCGTGCTCTAAAATTCTTATTGTGTTTCAAATTGAACTCTTTTATATATTCCTGATAGACCTTCGCAGAATCTTTGATACCTTTTGTGTATTCAAACTTAGTTGGGACTCGAAGAAACACTTTGGCCACCTGTTTGCCATATTTTAGATTTGTCGAAGTAACCTACATTCATATCAATTAAAACTCTACAAATTCTTGTTAGCTACATCTCCAAACATATCCATCATTTGTTCCAAATTTTCGATCAAGGTTGATTTTGCATTATTCTGATTATGCATACCATTACCACCATAAAAATAGCCATCAGCTAAAGGAAAATATTGCTTTGATACAAATTTTGGTGCGGAATTGGAGTTCTTAAAATAATAATAAAAGTTAAAAGCAAGAATTATGTATTTAAATTGATTATTAAAAAATGTACAAAACCTTTGTATATATAGTTAAGATTATTCCATAATTTTACTAATATAAGGAAACTAAACTAAATCCTAATCAAAGACAAAATAGAAATAATATTCTAATCAATAAAGAAAAAGAAATCCTATTTTAAATAAAAAAAAAAAGAAGAGAAGGAGATAAGTTACAACTAGAAATCTTATTGTAAGTAACTAACTTTCATCCTATTTATAATAAAATTGTTCTACGTCACAATGTTAAAAGGTTCGGAATATATATGACATAAACGGAAGGTTGGGGACATGTTTCCACACTTATTAAAGGCTAGGGATTCCTAAAGTACTTTTACTAAGAAGATACCCAAAACAAATAATACAACGGAAGAACTCCCCTTTAGATCTCGGCATTAGATCAATCAACAAATCCCCAATATGTTGCTACTTCAATTCATCAATATTGTGCACATTTGGGATTTGGCCTGTTATTCGTAGCAAAAGACCTTTTAAATTTTCGACGATCCCAATTCCCAAAAAAACATGGAGACAAGAGAAAACAAGAGGATGAGAAATCAAGAATCATTGGATAGAGAAAAACAAGAAGAAATTGATTCTGATAAATTAGGCAGTTTACCTGACAGTATATTGACTCATATACTTTCTTTGATTGATACGAGGACCGCTGTCCAAACATCAGTGCTGTCCAAACGCTACAGATTTCTGTGGACTTCATTGCCAAGTCTCAATTTTTACTATTTTGGCCAATCCCGACTTAATTTTACTTCATTAGTTGATCATGTTTTGGGCTGCAGGGACGATACTAATTTGACTGGGTTTCGCCTTTCCTTGTACAAGGAAGTTGCCGCAGGTTGTATTAGCGACTGTATTTCTTACGCGGTTCGTCACAAAGTGCAGAATCTCAGCGTACGTGCGTACACAAAACATAGTCTTATCACGTTGACTAACTTGTTCAATGCTTCTTCATCGTTAAGAACTTTGCGTCTGACTAATGCGACTTCTTGTAATATCGAGTTACCAAAGTCAGTCTCTTTGCCGGAATTAAAAGTTCTTATGCTGAAAAATTTTGAGTTTTCGAGTCAAAATTACAATGCGGATATTTTATTTGGGTGTCCAAATCTTGAGACGTTGATTCTGAACAAGTGTTTGATTAGGAAACGGGACTACCTTAAGGCATTGAATGTGAATTGTCCGAACCTTAAGCATCTCGAGATAAGGTATTGGAGGAGTGTTTGGGAACATTTTGATGAATATGTGATCAATGTGACTGCACCTAAACTTGTTTCTTTTAAGTTCCAAGGTCATCTCATGAGAGTGAATTTTAAGAGGAATTTGTTATGTTTAGATACAGTTTGTGCGGATCTATGTTATCCGACTGCATGCAAGACAGTTAATGTGAGCCATAGAAGGCGGAGGACGGCTCAAAGTTTTATTTATATGCTTGGCCGGCTATGTAATGTGAAGTCTTTGTTCGTATCATTGAAGACCATCGAGGTACTTGAAATTTTTTCTTTATTTGCTTCGACTGCCTAAAAGTGAAATGGAGTATAGCTGGATTCTATTAAATCTTGTTTGTTTTTCGATGTGTAAAATATTCGTTGAACAAGCAAGTTTACAATTGATGAACCCTTTAATATTGAAGTGAAAATCAATCTTTTTACCAAAGAACTTCTTTTGTTCTAATCCACCATTGCCAATGGTTCCATTTTGTGGTGTTTTCAATGTTGAAAAGAGTAACATTATACTTCAATTGTGATAAACAATTCTGATAACTAACTTTTTGTATTTTTAAATGTGGCCAGGCTCTATCGTCCATTCCTAATTTTCGAAAATTTCCTATATCTTCTATATTTCGGAAATTAAGGTATATAAAGTTCACGGTGAAGGATAAATACACAGAGATGAATGCATCCATTGATACCGTTGCACAATTGTTGAAGCGAGCGAACACTAAGTTTCTGGTATTCAGTCTTACTAAGGTATGGTTCTATCTTGCAAACAGTAATATTTTTGAAATTCATTTACGTTTTACTCTGCTGAATAGCTATTGAATCAAGTACGATATGTGCTCCATTTCATATGCATTCTTTTCGTAAGTTTAGATGAACATGAACCATGAATTCAACAACGTAATTGTGCATAGTTGTACTAAACCTTAAAACAAACATTGTGCCGTTAAATTCTGCTGATGCCAATCAATTTGCAGGAGCAGATTCTCTCAATAAATTTGAAGCCTCCATCGATGAAATCCAGGCATAAGGATGCGAATCCGATCACGATACCAACACATCTGATGTCTCACATACTAGAAAGCTCTCCTAGTGCTGAAGTCTTAGTCATTGAATTACCAAAGGTACTTCTTTTTCAAATGGAGCGAGTGTAAAGCCGGGGAAGTGTATTAGTTTACTGATACCCCCAATTTTTTTGTATTTTGATTTCAGGCCGCATCAGATTAAAGGCGAGTAGGAAGAGGTATGTTGAGATAAACGGCATTTTGGAATGCAAGCATACATAGAAAAAAGTACGTCTACTTTTGGAAGAATAGTGTGTTTATGAAGAATATATGGAGGAACATAGATTCAGTTTGTGCACATTGCGAGGCCCGTATTTCATTTCAGAACCAAACTTTTGAGGTATTTCATAAATTTGAACACTACTCAAATGAAAACCAAGAATTTAGTGTTGAAGACCAGCCTGTTTAATCATAAGAATACGCCGCCTTCGACCAATCCAAGTGGTTATCCATGGAGAATCTCCCGAAACCATTCTGTAACCCCCGCTAGAGTACAATTTTCTAGCTCCATAATCATCTTCGTAGGCCCTTAAAACAAGATACTCAAAACCCCAAATTGCAGCAAGTATATCACAGGCTTTTAGCAATGTGGTGGCAACCTTTTGCCTTCTGTGATTTTTAGACATCATTCAGTAACAAATAAAAAACTTGCATTATAGTTATACTATTAATTTGAGAGAAATTCTTGCCTGAATTTACTTAGTACAGCAATTCCCGACACGTAAAGATATTCTTCTGCCCCCGGGAGGTGTTGAAGAACAGATTCTTCCCTCTGGACAGTGACATCGACTACTCCTACAAGCTCTTTCTGCAAATTACCTGTATCAGTTAAAGGCTCCGCGACCAAACACGCATACCTGTTCATCATAGAGATTTGTTTGTCGTTGAATTAACAGAATTTTCATACCATGAATTCTATAGAAAATGTCATACAATTAGCATAGAGAGGTAACATTATTAGCTAATTTACCTGTCTGATGCTGAGTTCCTAAGTCTGTAAAGAAGCCCTGAAAGCACTTCAGCCTGTATGCAGCATGAATTTGACCAAAAATATGTTAAAAATTAAAAAATCATCATATTTTATTCAAGAAAAGGAATTTGTACAGTGTTTCTTGAGTAAAATCATTACCTGGAAGAATTCTAAGAACATATCATTGAACAAAATGACAGGCTCGTGGAATGCTTCAGCTTGAACTTTGGCAACTTTCTTCATTTCTTCTTCTGTCTCAACCATTCTCCTCACTTGCCAATTGTTGTCTCTAACAAGACTCTCGTAATACATTCCTTGGAGGTCGAGCTTTCGAGCAGAGAACTCGGCTTGTTGATCAGAAGATGATGGTGATGAGGTTGAAGAAGTACAGCAACGTACAAACCTTCTATTTTTCTTGAATATTTGCCCGTCAAGCTCTGAATAGTGCTTTACATCTCTATATCCCCAATAGAGTTCGCTTTGTGACCCTTTGAAAACATTTGGTTGATTGGGATATTGCAAACGAGCCATACCCTGCTGAATTCTTGCTCAAGAAACACTATTTGATGTATAGCATGTGAAGCAAAATGCATGAACAATAGAGTCGTCGTCCTCGAACATGAGGTCAGAACCTGGAGTTGGGTCTGCGACTCTCACATACAACCTTTTAGTCGAGTCATCTCTTAAAGCGTATCAAGGCGATCTCGACTATTACCAAATTTTTTGTATACTATAAAAATTCATAATAATTTGTTAACAATGGGACAAGATGGAAAGATAAGATTATTATGATGCAAGTGGCTGTGCTTTTTCATCTCAAAATATTGAGGGCCCACTTCATTTTCCTACCCATAAATTTGTGACTTTTAGATTGAAGTCTGCAGGCTGACACGTGTCCTTGTTCAACGATATCTTCTT